CTAAGACAGGCAAAAATGCATAAGATTAGAGGAAGGAGATAACCATCTCTCCTCAGGGAGCCACCTATGAGGTGGGTAACCCGTGAAATAAAGTCAGCCCGGCCTTAAAATAAAAATAAAGAAGGGAGATGTGGGGACCTAAAGGCCCCACCTTGCAGAGGTCCGAGAGGAAGTTACTGGGGCACGGCCTGACTTGTTTTAAAAGTCTGAAGGATACTTCCACACTGCTGAGGAGTGCATGATCAGCGCATGACCATCCTTAAGATACACCCTTGGGGGGGGGAGGGGGGATTTCCAGGTTCCTTTATAAGCTCTGTAACACCTGCAATAAATGAGTCCCTGCTTGACTAGGCTCCCCGTTGCGCCTGAGTGTTCCCGGTACTGGGGGCGGCGTGGGCTGGCAAATGGTACACTTACTCATCCCCAATCATCACTGTGTGGGGGTTGCTGGTTCGAACCCCCCATACCCCATTTAAGTGTGCTTGAAGCAAAGTGGAATTTTAAAAATCTGGTGCAAAATGAGGTTTAAGGTACAAGGAGGATCTTAAGTATGCAGGAAGCCCTGAAAAGCCACTTGCTTCAGCACTCGGGAAGAACAGACTGGATCACATCTCTAAAATACACAAAAGATGGTTTTTATCCTGCAATGAGTGTATCGTATGTTTCTTCACATCATTCCCTATTAATTTCCTCATATAGAAATCCCAAAATATACTCAGTAAAGAGAGGAATACTCTCAAATGTATGGAAGACAAGAATTCTTTTTATCTTATTAGGAGTTACAAAAGCAGTTTTGTTAAAGACATTATTTTCAGTCGTGCAATGTCTGTGGAGGCCAGAAAAGGGCATTGGTTCCCCTGGAACTGGAGTTGGAGATTGTTTGTTAGCTGCCATGATGGGAACCAAACTCAGGTTCTCTGCAAGAGCAGCCAGTGCTCTTAACTGCTGAGCCATCTCTCCAGCTCCACTGCATAAAATTCTTAAAGTAAAACACTTTGCTTTTGAGTTTATTCCTCAGCTAGTTTTCCCATTTTGTCTTTAAGTTGATTTTCTTGCTTTTTATTTTTCTGCATATGTCTTTAGAAACAGACATATGTTCATGACACTGACTGAACACATATCTGCACAGATGCTAGGTACACTATATATACCAACTTCTAGGAAAAATAATAAAGAAAATGATAATTTCAGTATATTTTTCCTCCTGGTGAAACAGAGGCATTAAGGAGATTAAGGAAACCCTCACAACGTTCACTATCTTCTCACAGCACAGAGACACCTTGGGTATTCCCTAATCACTGACTCTCCATATTCAATTTGCCATCCTGAATCTGTGATTTCAGGTAGGTTAACCTTCAAACTAAGGTTATGTTAAACAGGAGGGATACCAGCTTCCAAAACTAAGAGAGGTTTCCAAAACCACTCACATCGCTCTGGTTCTTGGCCGTCTTCAGGGAGTGCAACATCTTGGGGTCATCATTGATGCTGAGGGCGCCGATCATCTTGCCTCTGCTCTTCTCATAGTCCTTCTTGTACATCACCTGCAAGGACACCACGCGTGCTGACCCGCTGGGCAGGAGCACCCAGGCCCCCTGCCCAGGCCAGGGCCACACTCACATCGCTGACATTTTTGCTGTTGGCTTTGGCAGCCAGCAGGGGGATGGCGTCCACCTTGATGTCAAACTTCTTAGCCTTGCTCTTCTCCCAGTCTTGCTTGTAAGCATTCTGTACAAGAAAATTTCAGTCAAGGAATCGGCAAAAGTGACATGCATGTCATCACACTTGAAGGCTGAAGGCTAACTCACTGTTTAATTCTTAATATGAAATAAATGAACTGCATATTTGAAGCTTTTGATTCTAGGTTTCTCTGCTGTCCTTCAGAATCATCAAATTCATCAAATTAGTTTTGTTTTGTTTTTTTCAGACAGGGTCTCACCAAGTAGCACTGACTGGCCAGGAACTTGCTATGTAGACCAGACTGACAGAGATCTGCACCACCATGCCTGGCTCATCAAATTAGCTTTTTTTAAAAAACATTTTATTTATTTATTTTTTTTATGTGTACGCATGCATTGCCTGTGTGTATGTAAGTGCACCCATCCGTGCAATGCCCGCAGAGGACAGAAGAGGCTTCGGATCCCCTGGAACTGGAGTTACAGGCAGTTGTTAGCTGCCATGTGGGTGCTGGGATTCGAACATGGATCTTCTGCAAGAACAACCAGTGTTCTTAACTGCTGATCCATCTCTCCAGCCCTCATCACATTAGCTTAAGTCCAGTGGTCATCCTAATAGTCCATCCTAACAATGAATGTTTTACACAATGGTACAAATTTTCTGCAGTTAACTTCCTTTCTGTGATATAAAAGCATCACTTTCATTCACTCTCTAAACCCACTCAAAGGTTATTTCATGAGTCCTTGTACTACCCATTGACACTGGATAATCACAGCATTCATTCAAGGAACTACTGAAAAAATTGAGGACCACCGCCCAGGGTAATTTCACTTTTCTATAAAACTGAATTTCAAATATAAAAGATGCAATCCATTTGTGGCCTTCTACCCTTTAAATACCCTGTGTCCTCATTAGTGTATGCTTTCTTATATGTAGAAATAAAGCTAATTTTTGTAAAAAGGGACATTATAGGCCAGGGGAATAAATACAATCATTTCTAAAAAAAAATCAGATCCTGGGAAAAATCAAATTAAAGCATGGTAAGAATGAATGCACAGTTGAAAGATCTAACATTGAGATTTGCAATTGAATATACAAGAGTGGTGATATTTTTTAAATTTTATTTATTATTTTTACTTTATGTGTATGTGTGTATTGCCTGCATATAGGTAAGTGCACCCGTGTCATGCAATGCCCACGGAGGTCAGAAGAGGCTGTCGGATCCCCTGGGACTCAAGTTACGGACAGCTGTTAGCTGCCATGTGGGTGCTGGGATTCGAACCCAGGTCTTCTGCAAGAACAACCAGTGTTCTTAACTGCTGAGCCATCTCTCCAGCCCCCAAGAGTGATGATATTTTAAGGGTCAGTTAGAATACATCAAAATGATCTAATTTGAATGAAGCGATTTCGAGGTAGCTACATAGGCTTTAAGGTGAATTTAACATTACATTAGGAGAGACACAGGAACATGACACAAATGTTAAAAGTTATTCATATATTTAACATCAAAGAAGGTCACTGGATTGCAATAAAGAAATTCAAAGCTAAAAACACAATTGTCAGTACATCATCCATGCAGTGGTGTGTAAGGGACTTACATCACTCAGGTTGTAGGCATTGACTCTGTGCTGGATAAAGGCAGGTGTGTCAGGGGGAACGTGACACTTGAACTTTTCACTTTCATGTTTGGCTTTGTAATTTAGCTGAAGAGAGGGAATTGGGGTATGGGGCAGATAGAGAAAGAGCATCATTTCGTTCAGAAGAAAAAGATTTCCAAAATATAAAAAATCCTTTAGACATTTTGTGAAGTAACTGACAAAGGCCAAGAGAGAGTCAGACTTTGGTAGGTCACTGCAGTGCCTAACCTGTGTGCCAGATCCTTGTCAGGGGTTGCCAAGCCCATCCCCATGGGAGGATCCTAATGGAGTGAAGAGGCTCTTCATGATCATTGCCCTCTGTGCTATTACAATTGACCCTTTCCATTCAGAGACACCGCCCTGCCTTCCTTTCTATGGTGAATGCTCACTTACTGGAGAATCTTTAGTAAACGTTACTTTGTATATATTAAAGTTACTGATACTGCAGCGGAAATTATCATTTCTGGCCATAAATATATTGAGGTTATTTTTATTTTTATATTTTTAAACCAACACAAGCTTGAAAATCTATACTTCAAGCTCATGTAATAAAACTCATCTCTAGGATTCACTCCATTTTCTAGAAACCTATTCGGGAGAGAGAAACCTAGATGTCAAATATCTGGTCTGCGCTACAGTCTGTACTCTGTACATATCTCCTTTCACCTTAATTTTCAAAACAACTACAAATTATAAAAGGGAAACAAGAGGCACAGAAAGATTAAGTCATTTGGAAACCTTTCCATCAACAATAAAGCTGGGATTTGGATCCAGTTTTGTCTAATTCTAGAACCCACCCTCTTCACTATTTTAAGGAATATTAGTTCCTTCAAAGAACTGTTTTACTAAGTGCTGTCTGCTCAAGAAGATTTGATGCAACCAGATAGGAAAATATTTTTAGTGAGTATGAATACATAAATTCCTCCTAAAATTTATCTGTGCTCTAATAAATGCAATAAGAAGTTGGATCTTAAGGACAGGGATGTAGCTCAGTGGTAGAGCATTTGCCCAGCACAAATAAGGCTTGAGATTCATCCCCAGAACTGCAAATAGAAACAAAAATGGACTTTCTACATAGAGTTATGAAATGCCTCCCCTCACAACTGGTTCCTTGGATACTTAGAGGAACTTACATCACTCAGCTGTTTGGAATTGACCTGGGCTTGCACCTGAACAGGAGAGTCCACAACTTGAGTGAACTTTGTCTTGTCCGGGTGGACTTTGTAGGTATGCTGTGAAGGAGAAAGGAACTTGGATTAGTACTGTCTGTCAAATCTAAGAAGAATTCATTTCCCTCAAAGAAGCTGGTGGTTAATCAAACATTTATTGTGTTTGATTTTAGTGGGATTGTAGCTTGCTTGAGAGGTAGTCCCCCATTCACATGAAAAACTCCCCATGTCCTCAGATTCCTGGTAATTCTTCCAGACAATGAGCTAGAATTTGCTCTTGAGACATGGGATGCCAACAAGGACAAATAGCACACCTTCCACAAGACAGAATTTGCATCTTACAAATCCCTTGCTTAAACATATTTGTAAAATGGTCAAAATTTTAAACATCAAAGGGCAGCGGCAGCCAGGGACACTCTGAGAACTTACATCTTTACACTGATCCAGTTTCTTGATTGCTTCATATTCCTGGGTTATGGTCTGGGGGAAAAAGCCTTTGCCCCGATCCTCTTCGTATTCTGCTTTGTAGTTTTTCTATTGGGATAAAACAATCAGTTAGAAACCATTGTTTCATGCCTTAAACCCACAATGTCTTATTTAGAAAGTGAAGTAATTGTCTCTGGACTTACATCACTATTTTGGGCTGTAACTTTCATGCAGTGGGTGTGATATGGGTCCTCAAAGCTACCTACGTAGTGTCCCAAAATAGTCTTTAAGTAGGAATCTTTATATTTAGTCTGAAAGACAAAATGTACTTCATTTATTAATTGATTAATGACCTATTAAATAAGGGGTCCTTTTTTTAAACAGAAAGTATCATGATAGGTTCACTTACATCACTGCTGAAGTTCTGGAGTACTGTATCAAGCTGAAATTTGGGGGTCTCACAGTAATTGATGCTCTTTGCCTTTGTTTTTTCATAGTTTTCCTTGTATAATTTCTGTCAAAGAAAAAGAATCAGCTAAAATATATTCCTGTCACTCCCACGCTGATTATAACACTCATTTTCCAACACCAAACAATAGAAGAAGAAAAGATATTGCCTGTCAACTGCCTTAAGAACTGACAGTCAAACTGGGAGGGGGGGGGTTGCGGTATTATTAGCAATGATTGTAAAGCCTGAGTTTTTAACATTGTCAAAAACTTAAGAAGCCAATGTGCCGCTTCTGACCGACACCTCAGTGTCTGGTCCCCGCGTGCCTCGAGTTGCTGAGTTGCTGTTTGTCTCTTAGCACACTGTCTCACTACGATGCCACAGCAACATGGAAGCTTGTGCAACAGCAGGTTGTTTGGCTTGTTTTTTTAAAAAAACAAATGTTTGGGAAAAAATAATATAAGCTGAAAACTATACTGTTACTCTTCCTCCTTGTGTCAAGGTGTGTGTGTGTGTGTGTGTGTGTGTGTGTGTATAAATACGAGAGAGAGAGAGAGAGAGAGAGAGAGAGAGAGAGAGAGAGAGAGAGAGAGAGAGAGAGAGAGAGAGAGAGAGAGAGAGAGAGAGAGAGAGAGAGAGAGAGAGAGAGAGAGAGAGAGAGAGAGAGAGAGAGAGAGAGAGAGAGAGAGAGAGAGAGAGAGAGAGAGAGAGAGAGAGAGAGAGAGAAAGAGTACACAACGTTGTTAGAAAAAAGTGATGGGGAGATATGGGAGGAGTTGGAAGAGAGGGAGTGGGTGTAGATTTGATCAAAATACCTTATATGCATGTATGAAATTCTCAATAAATTTAAGTTAAAAAAAATTGAGGCCTGTGTGAGAATTCAAGCCCGAGTTACTAAGTCTCCTTCATCAGCATTTCTCTTTAGTGTGAACAATAGCACGAATCAATTTTATTGATCTCAAGGGCAGGGCTGAGAAGGCAGACCATGTTCTTTTCATGATAAGTTTTCAATTTTTCAGCAAAGTTCCTTTTGAATATATCCCTTTTGAATATATTTATATTCCTGTTTTTATCAACAAAGTAGATTAAAACCTGAGATTGTTTTTGTTTGACAAAGTCTTTCATCTGGAAAGCCTTTGTGTTGAAGTCACAGCAGAGCAATTTGCATAGACAGATTCACCCTCTTCCTTGCAGTACCCCTCCCCCTCCCCAGCCACATGCACACATTTCCTGTGGTGCTGACTCAATTCAAGGGTAGAGGAAAGACAATTTACTCAGAAAGTCACATAAAATCCTTGAATCTTGAAAAGGTTCCATATAATATGTCTATAGGAAAAATCTCAGATGATCATATATTCAGCCTGTGTGTGATGCACATGTATGTATCATATATATGTATATAGTGTATACAAACAACTACGTCTTCAAATTCGACTTGACTTTTTCATCTTTTATGCCAGGCTGTCAGGCTTGTGTACTTATTTCAGCTCTAATAGCTTGATCAGGCTCTTAACAATTCCACAGTGGAGAGCAGATATTTCTGGGGATATATTGGGAGGCATCTTTCGAGTTCTGTGGTCTGCATATGAAGGGTCAAATCTGATTTTGAAAATCTTTTTTTTTTTTTTGCCGGATCAAATCACAGCATATCCCACATGCTGGCTTATAAACAGATGAGGCCTGCCCTTTGAACTAATCCATAGCCTTTCAGTCACTGAGGCACAATATTCTCAGAGGTTCTCAGTCTTCGTATGGTTAAACAGTTCCAATGTAACTGCTACTCCTCAACCGTAAAGCAAGTGCAAAGTTATATATGCATATAGTTATTACATAAGGTAAAAAACTTCATCTCTCTCACACCTAGGGTTTAAAAACCGCTTTGTGCACACAGTTCGCTTACATCACTTAGGACATCTCCTGCCGCCTTTAGCTGCCTGAGCAGTGGGTTTTCTGAAGCAGGAAGTACATTATAGTCTGCTTTTCCTTTGTTCTTTTCATAATCTTCTTTGTACTTCACCTGTAGGATGAAATAAAATAATAAAGTGACTCCACAGGTTATTTTTGTCTTCAACTCAATTATAGCTATTATGACAGAGTTCCACAAATCAATTTTCTCTTTAGAAAAATGGTAACTTGACATTTTATAAACACAATACTCAGAGTAACTCCTAACAGCAGTAGAGAAACTGCACACATTTCCAGGATACTTTTTCTTTTCATTCATCCAAAAATATCAGAGGAAATTGATTATGTGCCTGGCTCTGGGACAGACACAGGAAAGAATAACATATGGTTTCTGTCCTCAGAAATAGAAAGATATAAATATCGAGGGAGATAAACACAAATACTGACAGCACACTGTGCCCAGATGTCTGCTCCTGTGGAACTGCCCCATAGCTCTTAATATCCAGCTGCCTATCTGTCAATACATTTTAAAGAAAATCAAGGCGGCGCATCAGCAACTTCCCTTCACACCTCTCCAGTAACGGTGTGTTAAGCAAGCACACATTTGATGCATAAGCTGGAAAAAGAGGGGGAGTTGGGTGGGGTGAATGATGGCAACCGCAACTCATCCTCCCTTCATGACTTGCACTTTACATCCCAACCATGGCAGAAGCAATAAGTTGAGGGGTAGGGTTACCCAAAAGCCCTAATCAGGAACATGTCCACAGGGAATAAAATGACAAAGTGATCCTGATTCTGGTCAATGTCAATAGTCTAAGCCTTTTATTCAGCAGTATAACCACAGAAGTCTGGGGAATCCTATATATTTCCCTACCTTTAAGAACTTCAGAAAAGAAAGCCAATCAGCTTAATAGACAATGACAGGTGATATACAACTGAAATCCAGACGCACTAAACCCTACAGCCTATCCTAAGTACCACAGGGGCTATTCTACAGCTCCTGGGAGATGAGAAATCTGGACAACCTTTATACCTTACAGAATTACATACTCCCTTGAAAAACAGAAATTCAGAAAGGAAATTCCCACTATCTGACCAGTGTCTATTATATGGATGGATTGTCAGGACTTGTGACAGAGTCATCCTTCCTGTTATAGACCAGATCCCTCCCCTTTCAAGGACATGAATCCTCCAACAACAAGTGTTACCTCCCTATTGAATTTTTCCATCATCATAGAAAAAGGATATTTTTGTATTCTATCTTAGAAATATCCTTATTTCTTAATTTTCTATCAGGTACTATTCATTTTCTTCTTTTCTTTCTTGAAAAATACTTTGAAAAAGTTGAATTATACTCCAATCTTCTTTCTTCTTCTTCATTCATGAGCTCTCTCTAAGCAGACTTAGCAAAACTGTGTTTTGGGCTGTTCATCAATCCATCTAGAGGCATCAGCATAACTGATAACTTCCTCCCCACTTCACTTGCTCTACAAAACACTGCTGTCTCTCAAATCTGTTCTCATATCCCACATATAGTCCATCAGCAAATCAACTGTGTTCTACTTTCCAAACAGTTTTCATCCCTTACCCTGCTCTGGTCCAAAACAGCACTGTCTTACCCCTTCTAAATGACTGAGTCTTTCTGCCCCACACTTTTTCCATTATCTATAAGAGCCGGGGTTAGGAGAACTTCACCCCCACTAAAATCATGAAGCTCAGTGAGACAATTTCCTCATACCTTGCTAGCTGCGACCCCAGCTTGTTTATTCACTTTATACTCTGGTGTTTCTGTCTGCATGAAGTAGATCTGGTCTTTTATGTTCTCAAAATCTTCCTGATATTTCCTCTGTAAGACAGTAAAGATACAGCTGTGGAAACAAACTTCAAGGACAGAGGGTATTGGGAGAAGTTGTACAATTTGGTTCCCCAGACGAAAAATAAAGGAAGCAGAGACTCTTTAACTCATGCCAACTATACTTTGGAATCAGTTAGAGGGTCTCACCAGGTTGTTCCTATGAAAATTGAGGAAGAAATAGTGGAATTGAGTCAAAATAATATCCAGTGTCCTGGCACTCCTTGAGATGTTGCAGGCAGCTAGAAGTCCTTGAGGAAAGGTGTTTCCTCCCAGGATAACTGGCCTTCCCTACTTACTGTGCTAAGATTATCAGCGTTCATTCTAGCAGTTGCAATCTCAAAGCAAGGTGTCTCACTCCATTTTCCTTTGACTTTCTTTTCATAGTCTTCTTTATATTTTTGCTAGGGGACAAAAAGAAGAGAAACAAAACAAACTCTTGAGTTGATGAATAGGAATTAAGTAATAACACATTATTAAAATATCTTAACAGGTTCACATCAGATTCTTAACAAATATCTTCGAGAAATCTTCTGGAGTAGTCAACTTACCCAACAAAAATGATGAGTGAAAGGAAATAGGAATAGAGAGAGTGCTAACTCTAAATCTCCTTGCTGACTTTGGGGGCCTATAACCAAAAATATGGCATGGAGAAGTTACTTCACAACTGACCCAAGACTGTGTGGTTGTGAACTCTTGGGCCAAATCTTGGAACAGAATTAATCTAGCCAACCCCAAATCTGGGTCCATGAGCCAGAGACAGAAAAAGGTTAGAGCTTCCTTGGTTCATAGAACTACATTAATGACATAACCAGCAGCTTGTATGCCTACACCTCCACCACACCGTTCATTGAAAAGAAAGCCCTTCCCTGTTATGCCATTAGCATAAGCTCTGATGTGCAGAACTAATGTATCAGACTTAAAAGAAGTACAGTCCTCTCTAATATGTCCTATATCTTTTTTTCAGTGATTAATATGCTAATTTATAGCAAGAGTTTTTATAGCTATTCATTTTAGAGCTCTGGACCTGGGTTCAGTAGCTTGGTGCCCATGGTTTGATTCTGTGATTACCAAAGGTTTGACTTAGTGTCTCAAAGCTGTCAACATCAAGGGCTGCATACAGTTCATATAGAACACTGCTGGAAAGATGAAATAAGATCATATGCTAAAGATGGTTTATATATTCTATAGTGTTAAACAAATGTATGGCACAATAATTATAATGATGACAACTATTATAACAAAGAAACTGGAGAAAAAATTGCGGGGGGCTGGAGAGACGGCTCAGGGGTTAAGAGCACTGGTTGCTCTTGCAGAGGACCTGGGTTTGATTCCCAGAATGCATATTGCAGCAAACAACCATCTGTAACTCCAGTTCTAGGAAATTTGACACATTTTCTGACTTCTATGGGTACTGCACACACATGGTGCACTTACACACATGCAGGCAAAACACTCATACACATAAAATGAAAATATAAAGAATTCAAAAAAAATTTTTTTTTTGGTCTTTTTGAGACAGGGTCTCCATGTAGCCCCAGCTGTCCTGGAACTTACTATGTAGACCAGGCTGGCCTTGAACTCACAGAGATCCGCCTGCCTCTGCCTCTGCCTCCCGAGTGCTAGGATTAAAGGCGTGCACCACCACGCCCGGCCTTCAAAAAATTTTTAATTAAAAAAAAAAAATCGAATGTGATAGCAGCAACAAAGAGTGAGAACAGAGAGCAAAAGCAAAAGAGAGACAGAGAGAGAAACAGAGTGAGTTCTTCACTGGCAATTTATTCCTGCTCCTTTGTTGAAACAAGTCCCCAATAAAAACCAGAAGTAAGTAGGACTGATTTGGGAACTTGCAAGACTGACTGTGGAAGAACATCTAATCTTTGGATGGGGGGGGGGGCTTCTTAAGAATCCGAGAAAGCAATAAACACCAAAACTTCAGAGGTTCTAGCATGTAGCATATACCTATAATCCCAGCATTCAAAAGTATGAGGCAAGGGAATCATGAATTCAAACCCAGACTGGGCTGCACAGTAACACCCTGCCTCAAAAAATCCAAACCAAGACAATGATGACAATTAAAAAAAAAAAAAACCCAAAACTATAAAAAACAAAAACACCACTTCAGAATTTCTTAATGCACATATATCTCAGGTTATCAGTCTCTTAATATCTAGCTCTAAGAGATTTTGCCTTTCTCTTTGCAGAAAAATTCCAGGAAACTTAAGACCCTGGCCAAAGAAATCGGGACCTGATGCATCCCAAACAGAAAACTGTATAATAAGATTTAAAGTTGAAGAACAACTGATAATCTTACTGAAATCCAAACTTTGGATTACTGTTGAGAAAGAGGTGCTCTGTATATAGCTTTGTTAAGGAAAATCGAGTAAGAGCTTAATTCTCACAGTAAAGATAAATATGTGGCTTCTAAAAAAAGTATTAAAATGAAGTGCAGAACAGAATGTGAACCCACCCAGACTCCTCATCTAAAGTCCTTCATACTTTCTGACCCTTCACCAACCAAAGCTTACTGTCTCTTCCTGTGATAGTTCTGGCTGGGGACTGATACTTACAATCCACTACCAAGTCCTCCCAATTGGGAAGGGCTCCGCTGTGGAGGAGGAGGAGCTTGTCAACTGCTGAGGAAGTTGTCCTCCTTTATCTTTAAGGGAAGGTAGGAGGGAAGTTGAAGGGACAGGCCTATAGCTGGAGGAGTGGAGGAAGAGGCAAGTAGTGCCATATGGGAAGTCTCATTCGGCATGGTAGGCATTTTGTGGGATATATTGAGATGGAACCCCCATATCAGGAGTGTAACATCCAAATTTCTGCCTATCCCAAGCTTTCCCCTTAAATTACCCTCCTATTCTGTTGCATCTGGAGTTGACTAATGAAAACCTACAGGAAAGATGTGATTTGATTTTCTCTGGGACTTTTATTTAACAAAGGAAAGTACATTGGGTCAGTTCCAAGCCCTGGGATAGCCTCTGCGGGTGGGAGGGTGCCCAATAGATACAATGGTTACTTCCCTGAACCACGTCCCTCCCCCAGGAGTTAACTAAGGTTACGTCCATTGGGCTGCAAGCTAGGTTCCCTGATGTCTTGCTTGAGCACATGACTTCATTTTCCACTTTCCAGATCTATATCTGTAGTTTTTAATGTGATTGTCAAGCAGAAAGGAAAATGAAACAAGTTAATTGCATTTCTCTTTTTCTGAGTAGCTAAACGATGGGACTCCTGGTGGTCCCATTCAAGGAGAGTTGTCTTTTCAAAGTCAGGGAGGAGTTTTTATTGCCCACAGCTGGTCCAGAGTTGCTTTCATGACTCAATCAAATGCCTTCTGGTGAGATCCACTGGCATCTCCCTAATCCTATGCAAGAGAAGATTTCAAAAGATCAGAGCTTCTAACTAACTGCTGTCTAACAGTGGCACGGCAAGACTTTTTTTTTTTTTTTTTTTTTTTTTTTTTTTTTTTTTGTCTTTCTGAGACAGGGTCTCCCTGTAGCCCCAGCTGGCCTGGAACTCACTATGTAGACCAGGCTGGCCTTGAACTCTCAGGTTGACCTGGCCTCTGCCTCTGCCTCCCAAGTGCTGGGATTAAAGGCGTGCACCATCATGCCTGGCTTGCAAGATATTAAAAAAAAAAAAAAAAAATTCCAGTTTCTACTAGATCACTGGAAATTCCAACCAGGAGGGAAGCAGAGAGGTAGGCCTAGAGAAACTCAAGGGCCTTTCTGGTGTTGCCTACAGAATCCAACTTTCAGCTGGTCACAGTGAGCCTGCGAAGATAGAACAACTCTCCCTGTCCACCTAAATTAGAGCTATTGCCCGAGCCTGGAAAGGGTGCTGGTATGACGCTCATCACTTTGACCAAGACAAAGGTGAGAGAATATATTCTAAAATACATGGTAAGGGAGGCTACTAGGGAGAACATAATTTCAATACAAGCATTGCCAATATGTCACCATTACCAGCTGCATTGGAACCTGGAAGACAAAGAATGGGTCTGGAAGACACAATTTGGCAAGGAAATGTCAAGAGCTTAAATGTCTGAGAGTGGGTCAATAAATGAGATATTTTTCCCTATTTTGGTCCAAGTAGCTTGACAGTGGGGAAGACTGAGGAGAGAGCCCCACAGGAAGTCACCCTTGGTGGCCTGTGCTTCTGTGGATGGATGTCTGGTTGTTGGATTGACTGGCTACCGCACACAAGCATTTCTCTCCCACTGGACTGGTATTTTGGATGCACAATAGTCACTAATACCCACCTTGAAATCTGGGTAACACTAAATCATGTCACCACGGCCAAATCCAGTGACCTTCATCCAGTCACTCTCCCTTGGTTCATGTTATTCTACAAGGACAAACCCAGATCTGGCAACAATACTGTTACCCTATCTAAGTGAAGATTGCTGTCCAATGGACATAAAATGAAAGCCATTCTAGTAGCCATATTTTTAGGGTGCATCCTGTTATGTCCTGTCTACAGTTAATCTCTGTTCACCCCTGAGAGAATGGAAGGCTGCTAGTATTCTCAATAATTGTACTATACTTACACACCTAGTTTTACAGTAAGCAATCTGCAAAATCAGACATTGAAAATATCACTGAATAGATTTCATCATTCACATATTTTCTTTCTTTTCCTCTAATAACAGACCTCACCCGACCCCTATATTACTTTGAAGTTCAATCACAATTCAAGCAGAAGGCCAAACTGAGACTCGACTTTCAGAGGAAAAGAATGGTATTTAAAAGTAGCCAAGATGGTGGTGTATTTTTAATCCCAGCACTTGGGAGTCAGAGGCAGACAAATCTCTGTGAGATCAAGCCCAGCCTGGTCTATATATTGAGTTCTAGGCCTGCTGGAGCTATAAAAAGACCCTATCTCAAAGGAAAAAAAAAAAAAAAGTAGCAGTCTCTCAGGAGAAAGTGGCCTGATTTGGACCAGTTTAAAACAGGATTTCATGTGGACCTATGCATCAGCGGACCATTTGTCACTGCATGCCTTGCCAGAGCTGTGCTCCTCTGGGCTACTTTATTGGCCCAAAGACAGGCAGACTAAGCAGCTTGCCAGGGCCTCAAAGTTCTGAAATACAGGCCCCAACACTGTCTACTGAGCTATGCTGAGAGCCACTTACACAGTTTCGTTTGTTTACGTCTGACTGCTGGCGTGAAACTTCACGTGTTCTTCCTACTGAGCTAAACCACATCCTTCACGGAAGGATGTGTATACACGGTGACTGTGTAAGTAGCAGTCTCAGAAATTCAAAGAAAAATGTCAAGTGGTACTAAGATGTATGCTCTGTTATCAAAAGGTGAGTGTGACATTTAAAAATCGCTGTGTCATCATGCTGACTGAACACTAACATTATTCATGTTCCTGACCAATGGGCTGCTATGGTATAAAGTTTTGGGGTTGTGTGCAAAAATACCCCTAGTGTTTCTGTTTCCTCTTCGTGGGCACTGCAGGTTCCTTTCTCAAATGGTTGAGTTTCTAAAAGAGAGGGTGTCTAGCTTACCTTGCTCACTTGGTTGGTTACTTTCTTGGCAAACTCTATATCTGGAGGATCCGGCAGAGATGTGAACTGAGTTTGCTGTTCAGTGAGTCCTTTTTTGTAGGCAATCTGACAAAATAAAGGAAAAAATGTTGGAAATTATACTATTTTTCATGCTCCTTTTGTCAGCATTTTTTAAAAATACAGTATTTTCACCCTCAAAATCTTCCAATTTTCATGCACTATCTTGCCATAACTGCCCTCTTATGTTGCACGCTCTGGCTCTCAGGATTGCTACTTATTTCTAGTTCTTTGACTCTTCTCTCCTTCCAAGAACTCATGGCCCTAGACCTGTTCCCTTCCATTTGATCTCATGACATAATTTGTAATGGCAATTTTTCTTTTAGCTAGCATCCTCAACTTTCAACCATGTGTCTTTTCTTTTGGACCAACTTAGTCACCCATTTTCCTTTTCTTTTGGCCAGGATACTGAGTGCTGCAGAGGAAAGTCACCCAACACTATGGGTGGGGTGGAGTTAACATCGTGGGGTTAAGAGGAATACATGAAAAGCCACAGAGGAGGACTCCTGTATACCTTGCACCTAGCCTGAAATCTACATTTCTATCCAGGTTCCTGTTCTCTGGACTGTGCCTTGATTGGGGCACTACATTCAACACTCTATGGAATTATGGTATCCAATTGCACTTTGAAGCTTGAACATCCATGATATGTCTGTGACAGTCTTACTCACAGCAGCTGGTCTAAACTCCAACACTGTCCCTAAATCCTCAATCAACTCCATGTTATTCTCAGCTCCCTCCTTTGCTGAGGAGCTCTGGCTCCCGGGAGAAGCATCCCTCACAGGGCATGGCTCCTGAGCTACATGCGATTCCCCCACTTGCTCTTTGTACCTAGGTCCATCAGTTGCCCCTGCTCTGTCTAACAGCTTCAATCTCTTCCTCTTCATTAACTCCTTCCCTCTAGCCTATACAAACCTCCTATTGCCTTAAGAGAAGTCTGGTATCTATGAATCATGTTCACTCCTGCTCTCCTTTCTTCCTATCTTCCTGAATTTTCTAACCAGAGGAGGGGTCAGTGGCTGATTTTGTACATGTGTGCCTTACACACCAAGGCCACCAACAGAAGCCTGAACCGGAACATCATCCTCCCAACTCTTCCATCACACAGCTGTGAGACTTCTGTAGAATATATTTTTCCTTCCACATGGCAGTATTCCTATTTATTTTTAAAAAGGAATTGGTTCATTCCAAGGTCCCAACCATCTCGTGCTTTAACTAGGTCTAATTATGTCTTGTCCTAATAATAGCTATCTAGTGCCTATAATAAAAGTTTCTGTAAATGTCATCAAATCAACTAGGATATAAAAGACCGATTTAAAAGACTATAAAAAGTATACATTCCTCTGTTTAATTTAAGTAGACTACTTTAGGTATGGGGCAAGTTGGAATTTTCCATGACTGGCTAAGGAGAAATATTTATTAAGTATGACAACCTTTCAAAAAGTTTCTAAGATCTCAGATTTACAGGTCCTTGTTTCTCAGAGGCCATGGTCAGAATTCTGTCTAATTAGAATTCTGTAATCCAGATCAATTTAAAGACATTCTTATTGTTCCCAAAGTATTTTGTCTCTATTTAGATAATGAGGAAAACATAGTAAGAAGAGTTCAGAGGGACACAGAAATAAGGTGGAGAGAGAGCAGGGGTGACTCTAACTAAAGCCCTTGGCTTAAAACCTGTGTGCTTACATAGTGGTGATAATACAGATAGCAGCTTGGTTAGGTCTCTGAGCCAATAACTGTAAACATTTATGGTTCTGACAACAGTCTTAATAGCCATATTGGTAATGTGATGCTCAGTGCATACTTGGTCTGCAATTAAAAGACAAGCTTTTCCCTAACTGATAAATATGGAGTTAGAGTAGGGGAGATTTCACTTCATCGTTGTATGTTCTTCATTATGTTTACTGTTATGATCTCTTATAATCATAGCCAACTTTAATAGTTCAAACTTTATAACATAAGAGTGCTGTCAAGACAATCCTTCATCCGTTTTATGGATAAAGGGAAATATTCAGAGATGAAGTCTTCTTGGACACTCTCCCTAGGCTTACATGACACAGCATTTCCTCGTCCCCCTTCAGCTCCTACTGTTTGTTCCCTCATCTTGGGCTGGCTTATTTCCAGATGACAAAACCAAAAACCATATCTTACAAGATAAATACATTCTAAAATTGATACTGTGTACTAGATGACTTCAAAACATTATGTTTTATTTCCAAACCTTCCTTGTGGAAGGACAAAAGTTTACATGAGCCACATTTTAATCAAAAGCAGAATAGAAAATATACCCATGAAAATTTCAAGAGATATAAAATGAAAAGCAACAAAAATTAGACTCCAAAAGCTGGAGGCACCGTCAAATGGGTAAACTCTCAGCTGAGGCCCTAGTACCCATTTGAAGTCAATCTCTGTATAAGTCTCAACTGCTTTGTTAAATCTCCATTGGGTATAAGTTTCTAGATGAAACCTGCCAAGCAGCGTGCCATTATAATACAGTGTCATGCCAAAGGCCAGCGGAATAGTCTTTGGTTTTCAATAAAACCAAAATCCAAGTAAACCCAAGGGAGAAGAAATAAAGTACTCAAAACAAAGCAGATTCCAGCCTACATGGGGCTCTTTGCTGTGGCTGGTTTCAATGCTGAGGACTTTCAGGTCTTTTAAAGTTCCTCTAATACACAAATTTCTCATAACAAATTATGAGAAAATATGATGCCATGTTTTGTCTGGAAGATGATCTAAAACATTAAAGTTCTGGCAAGTAGATCTGCTGATTTTTACTAATTCTGAACTATCCTCTGTGCACCACTGCCAGGAGCCTTTGTGGGATGACTATGTCAGCACGTTTCAGCAAGTCTCCATGTGGAGAACAGAGACACCACAATTCAGACTTGATTTGGATGGTGGAGCAGAGCTAAATAACACCATTTGCTTAGTAAATTTGCAAAGGGAGATGTGATTCCAATGGATGTCTTTAAAAATACCACTCCATCATTAAAAAAAACTTTAACAGAGCCAAGGAGGAGCAGTGACATGTGGTCTGGTAGGAAGAATGTTCATCTTTCGTTCGTAAGCCAAGGCTCTGCCACTATTTATGTGTCCTGGTCTGTTTCTTCATTGCTGTGACAAAATACTCTGACCACTACCAATTTGGGGAGGAAAGGGTTTATTTAGCTTACATATCCCAAGTCACAGTTCATCAGGGAGCCCAAGGTAGGAACTCAGGGCAGGAACCTGGAGGCAGGAGCTGGAGCACAGGCCATGGAGGAACACTGCTTACTGGCTAGCTCCCTTGGCCCCTGCTCAACCTGCTTTCTTATTTAACACAGGCCCACCTGCCCAGGGGTGGCACCACCTACAATGCTCTGGGCCCTCCCACATCATACAACAATAAAAAAGATGCCTCAGAGACATGGCCACAGGCCAGTCCAATGAGGGAAATTCCCCAATAGAGGCTCCCTCAACCCAGGTGTGTCAAGTTGACACTAGAGCTATCCAGCACACTGTGTGAACTTAGAGTCATGTTCCTCAGGCATACAAAGAAGAGATTGGAGTAAATTATGTCAAATATAAATTATAGCTAACTTAAATTAATATAATACATTATTGTTCTGGATGTAAGCATCTGTAATAAAAACAGTGAGTCTTTTTTAAAGGCATAAAGATGTGCCCCAGGTTTTCCCACACTTAAATGGCACCAGCTGTGCTGTACTTACATCACTGAGAGCTTTCTGGGCCTGGGCAACCCTCCTCAGTTCTGGACTGTCGTTATAAGGATAAAACAATCCTTTGTCTGCGTCCCAGTCCTCAGTGTACAGTTTCTAAATTAGAAAGAGTGAAAAGCTCTGATAAAGCAAATTACACTGCATCAAATGTAATTTTGAATTCCATCAGTGACTGCCTCCTTTCCATCCAATCCAAGTTATTTTTTATTCATATCTTGTCCTGTTTCTGAAAACTCTTACTTACAGACTTTATTGCCTGTCTGTGACTTTACTTGCCTCCTGCATAAAGAACCGGGAAGTAGTTCCCCTAGTTTGTCATAAAATAAACTTCTAGTAAGAATGATGGCCAGACATTGGACCCTTACTGGAGTATCCAGCCACTCTTCCCAGCCAACTGTATGTAATTTGGCCCTAATTACACATGGCCTCCTGGATTTGGAGAGGGCTAAAGTATACAGTCTGGGGAAGGCTTGGAAAAGAAGGCATGCCCCATGCTGGGTAAAGGCTTTCCAGTGTGCACACCCTCACACACATCAGCAACCCCTCAGTTATTTTGGTAAGTAACCTCAGTAAATTCATTGGATCCCCAGTAAACCTTTAATCAAATATTGGCTTGACACTAGAACCTTAAAAGGGAATAAGCATTGCTTAGTATCCCAAAGAAAAGAATTCTCACAACAGATGGAAAATTTATTTGTTTATGTTATTATGTCTCATAATTATTAAAAAAAGAGAATGAGAATGTAAAAGATGTTAAAAGGATATGGGAATGGAGATATTTTCCAAAATAGAAAAAATGAGAAAGCCTAAGCAAGTGATGAAGGTCTGTGTAAGTTTGTTATGATACATAAAAGATAAGACAAAAATGATACACATATAATCTTAAAAATTTCTAAGGTCATAGTTTAGTCAACTAGTTTTAAAAACAAAATATAAATCTAGTCAAGGTTTATCTGAGAATATTTGTTTTTTTTACCCAAGCCTTATTAACATAGCACATAATAATTAAAAGTACCAGACTGATGGAACTAACCTTATGGGATGTTTAACAGTCATAGTTTGAGGCCTATACTGATGTGGTCAGAGGGACTTAAAGGACAGTTTTTGCCCCTTGCCCTCCAAGGTTGACTAAGTTCTAGGAGACTATGGAACATCTCTCAGAAGGTTTTGCAACTGTGGTGAATCACCTGTCCTCTTGTTCATGGAGGCCATGGAGACCCCATGAGATGGACTTGAACCAGTGTCCAGTCTACAAAGAGGAGGGTCAACTCAGAGGAAATATCTCATCCATGCTTCCAAGTGAAGCCAGATATGGTCAAGCAGGACCTATAACTTATCTTCACATAGATGGAACTGGTAAAAGAAAGGAGTCAGAAGCGCTTCCCAAGCTCATGTGACCCCTGAGGAACAGATCCTCAAACGAACTTAAGTGTAAACATAAATTGATTTATTTGGGCCAACTGTATGGTCTGAAACACCCAAAAGGAAAGTATAACCAAAGAGTAAAGTCATCAGTATATTTCTTTAAGAGTTCAAGGGATTACACTTCCCAGACATTAGGCTTAAGTCTATAGAAAAAGTTATTTAGACAATTATTTCTCATTGATGAATTTGTTCCTAACCAGAAAGTGCTGCTCAGATGTAAGACTTCAAATCATGGTCTGCAATACTGTAGTGCCCACCTGTAGCTAAGGGAGACAACCTGCTATTGTTCTAAAATGATGGCCAAGTTTGTTTTCTCCCCCTATCTAGAAGCCTTTGAGAGGGAACTGACACTGATTCTAACCACACCAACAGCTATCAAAGTGCCTGAATACAAATCCTGAGTTCACTCTTGAGTTCAGCCTTGGCAACCAAAAGAAGAATGAGAAGGAACCCAGTAGATGGATGCTTTTGGAAGCTCTCATCAAGAAATCCCAATGGACTTTGATATGAACATTTGAAATTTGCCCTGTTCTGACTTTTTTCTGGCTCCCTGTCTAGAACTTGGAATGCTAATAACTTGCGTTTACTTCTCCTTCACATCTCCTGTTCACCAGTCAAGGACTTTCTTTTCTCCCTACAGATAAGAGTTATGCAATTTGGGAGTCTTTAAGATAGACTCACTGAAGGGGGTCCACAATTGCCTCACCCTGCATCCCTGTTCAGCATGGAAGAAGCCAGAGCAGTCAGTGTCTTTATTCCCTATCAGCAATTTGGGTAACCTCTTCAGAGAATGGTGTGATAAGAATAGAAGGTAGGAATTGGCTAGGCAGTTAGGGTAAAAAAAAAAAAAAAAAGCCAAAGAAAAGTAGCCAGTTTCTTGGCTCAAAGTCAAAATGTCCTTGGGCCTCTTAGCAACATACTCTGTTCCGAAGGCCAAAAATGACAAAAGTATTTGGGAGTGTTTATCTAAACCCTAAAACGTTTTAGGGTTACCTCTTCAGAAGGGTAATGTCAGAGTAGCAAAAAGCCCCGTTTAAAAGAAAGAAAGAAAGAAAGAAAGAAAGAAAGAAAGAAAGAGAGAGAGAGAGAGAGGGAGGGAGGGAGGGAGGGAGAGAGGAAGGAAGGAAGGAAGGGAGTACATGAAGTTGTCAGAAAAAAGTGATGGGGAGATAATGGGAGGTGTTGGAGGGGAGAGAGTGGGCGTGGATTTGATCAAAATTCCTTATATACATGTATGAAATTCTCAATAAAGTTTCTTTTAAAAGTTAAAAAAGAAAAGAATGATGGCTAGGGATATATGAAGTATAACACAAGCTCTGCTGAAAAATGTCAAATTCAGCTTTGATAGTTTCTTGATCACTTCTCAGGTGTCTTAATTCTCTCCGTGTTTGTGGTTCCATATTGCTGAGATTCCCTAGGGTCTCTCCACCACTTTCCCCGAGAGCTCTCTTCAACAGACCCTAAGGCTCCTTCTTGTAAAGCTCACCCTTGAAGAGGCCTCAAGATTAGTCACAAAAGCACTGGGGAGCTGGGTTCCAAGTTGTCAAGAGTTTTCTGGGTATGGCTCTGAAGTGTGTAATAGGCTAGTAGAAAGAGCTAGACCTCACCTTACTGAACATGGCTGTGTTCTTAATGGCTTGGACAAGTTCAGGGGCATCAGGGGGAAGCAGGTACTTATCCTTGGTGTCTTCCCAGTTCTGCTTATATAAAACCTAGAGAGAAAAAGCAGAGAGTATGTGGTTTGATGTCTCACCCAAGGCAGGAGGATTTAGATAACAGAAAGAGAATGGTAAAAGTGGTCTCACACACACGTTGCTGATGGATTACCAGGAAAATGTTGACCGTGCCAACATTCTATGATCCTTTCAGCACTAATAAGCTACTAACACTTAGATGTTTGAACATGTGTCTCTAATCTCTATGTATCTGATTATTACTAGTCACAGTAATAATCATATTACACTCAGATCCTTGGCACCTGAGTATGGATGTGAAGTCCACTGAGGCTGGAGAGATGCCTCAGTGGTTAAGAGCACTGGCTATTCTTACAGAGGACCCAGGTTTGGTTCCCAGCACCTATATGGTAACTAACAGCTGTCCATAATGCCAGTTCCAGGAGATCCGATGCCCTCTTTTAACCTCTGTGGGCGTTAAGGGTGCACATACATACATGCAGTCAATACACTCATATACATAAAATGAAAATACTAGATAAAATATTTTAAATGTTTATAAAAATTAAAAATAAAATCAGCTGTCCACATTTGAAATTTGAAAAGTTCTCATAAAATTCAGTTCATGGGATCTTCACTCCACTTGGCATCTATAAGCTACTTCAGGCCGCTGCAGGGCCTCCTGGTACATGTGGACATTCAGTTCACACTATCTGTGAGTACTATCAGGCTTATCCATCCTCCTCTAAGACAAGGCAAGGGGTACCGCATACACTGTTGAATATCTCAGTACCACTCATAACATGGCCTTACCTTGCTGACTTGCTGCGACACTTTCTTTGCATGTTCGATATCCTTTGCTTTTTCATCTACGTGACAGATAGTTTTAGCAACATCACCATCCATTCGATACTTAACCTGCAAAATAACACAGAGGTTCATGATGAACATGAACATACAAAGTTTCTCAAAGAATATGTTATAAACAGAGAGCGCTGACCCAGTGGCTATAGATCTACATTACAAAGTGCCATTTCTGCATTTTATATAGCAAACTGACCTTGAAAGATCCATAGAGCACCTGCATCTACTGCTAGTGCGCTTCACTAGCTGAATTTCTGGCCCGTGCCTTCTCAGTCTCACTATGCTCCAACATGGAGAACCACAGTGAGTTGAAACCCCATCTCACAGTCTCTCTTAAATTGATTGCCAAGCTAAGCTTTTAGACATCTCTCTGGGTTCATTTACAGCAACATAATCCATGGCCAATATTGCCTCTAGACGTCTGGACTGGCTCACAGAAATTTAACTCCTTATTTCCTTGGTATATGCTTAGAGCCCTTGGTTTCAGTGCCAGGCTTTTTTTTTTTTTTTTTTTTTTTTTTGGCAAAACCTCTCTCTAAGTTACTCCATTTTGTTCAGAGCCATTTCAGCCGCAACTTTGCTCCACACCAAAGGAAAAGGGGGGCAACCTTGGGCCTTGGAAAATTGCTCTTGCCATGAATCATGGAATGTGATAATTCTAGACACTATACATTTTTACTAACCAGCTTGTTTTGCTTCTGTAACCCGCTTGGTGTCTTGGGTCGCCTTGACACAGGGCATAAGACCACCCTTGTTATCTTGTTATTGTATGACCACCTAGAAGTCATTTACCTTGACTGTCTTATTTTACTTATTATTGCTAAAACAGTTGGCTAGTTTTAAAGTCACAAAGTTGATTGCCAAGTTACATGACTGTATCACTTGTCTGTATGATTGGTTGTTGATTAATAGAGTCAAAATTCTGCTATGTTGTACAAACCTGATTGGTTCACAAATGTCCTGTTTTAATAATAATTCTGTAATCCTATAAAAACTCTGATTTAACAATCATCAGGGCTGCTTCTACTCCCGAGATAGACAGCCCGGCCAGTCAAAAATTAAAATTTACCTTGCTACTTTTCTTAAAATGGTGTTGGTGATTTTTTTACGAACTCTGTCCTATAACACTCTCCTTTATTTAGGAATAGTGCCCACCTCACTGAGTTGATCCTGTACTTTCTTGATTCTGCGCAGTTCTGGAGTATCATTGGTGATGGCATATGGCTGTCCTTTTGCTTTCTCAAATTTCTCTTTGTATTTATTCTGAAAAGAATATCAGATATTAGCCTGGAACCTGTAAAACAGCAGCCCCAAATTCAGGCAATGCACACATCCCATCTGAATTTTTTAAGTTCTCCAAGTTATAGCAATTATCAGTTGTAATAGCTGTCATTTTGTCCCATACCCTCTCAGCAAAAACTAAAATAGATTTGTTAATTGTTCTTCCTAAACATGATTAGATTTTGGAAATTTGTTACAGATAATTATCTTGGATGTACCCTAAAATAATCCTCTTGATTTTTTTTTGTTTGCATGCATATACAAAAGCCTGAATCTCAATTATTTTAGAAAATAAATATAGAAAGTGAGTTAAGTCTGAAAAGATTTGATTGCTAATACAATGCAAAAATATTCAGTCAGAAGTTGCAGCTGAACTTCAGTGGTTTGGACAGCTGAGATGCCAGATGAATTCATGGAAAATCTGAATTATGGAATATTTTATAAAAGAATGCAAATATTTCTTCTAACAATACAATGAACTTTTGCTTTAGTAATAATAGACATCATTCATTATTATCAAGCATTTAAGTATTTAAGAATATGCATCATTCATTGCTATCAAAGATTATTCTTGAATGGCATACTTAACTATCTTGATTAGATTGCTGATTTAAAAACTAACAACTTTAAAATTATGAGGATTTGCCAACATTTTGCTCAGAATATCAGAAATTCTAGGTTCATAATGTTTTAATTAATGACATTATATGCCAATAAATTAACGAGATAATTTTCCATCTTTATTGAGCACTGTAGTGATCAAAGATGTAAGAAAGTCTTGTGATTTAGAATTCTACATCTTACAACAGTCAAGGATCCACAGAGGACATTTACTCCATAATCTCCAAGAGGTAATACAACCAAAACTGAATCTTTAAAGATTTGCCACAGCTGGAAGCTTTTGGCATCAACTTTGATTGTGTGTGTGTGTGTGTGTGTGTGTGTGTGTGTGTGTGTGTGTGTGTGTGTAATGCAATGTTCTTTTGAGCTGTATTTAATCTCTTCAAGCCCCTAGAAAGTATATACAGTCAAGCTATCTGGTGAGCTTAGATGCTTGCCATAGGAGATCAGTAAATGAGATCTATTAAAATGGATCTGAGTCTGCTGACAATGTAACTTATAGGACTGCACATAGCACTTTTAAGAACCAGAGAAGTTTGACTCTGCAATGATCCTTGCCTGGGGTGTGTGTGAGAACCACCTGGGCAGCTTTTAAGACTCCTTTTGCACAGGCCTGAGCCTTGGACCAATTAACCACCTGAACAACAGTAGCTTTAAATCTTGTAGATTCCACCATGCAGCTGTGGTTAAAAACCATAGTTCTGGGGTATTTTGATCCTCAGTTTCAAATGAGCTCTTAATTTGGTCTTGGTTTTCTAAAACACAGTCTCTTGCTCACTCATCACCTGTTAGAGACCTTCTTTTATACTGTTACTCTACCTAAGAGCTAGTCTACTTACACACAGTTCAACTATGTGTTGCTTAGCTTCTATAAACCAACTTTCATTGAATACATATTTACTATTTCATTATTCTAGATTAGTTAAGCAGCAATTGTTTTATAATTGAACTTCTGCTTCTCTTACAGCAGCAATGTTAGTAAGGGCTTCTCTCCATGCAACAATGGTGCGGAAGAAAGGAGAATTCAAGATGAAAAATGATGCACTTCTAAAAGAGAATGTTTTGTTTCATACAAGACTAAGAAACAAAATCCAGCCAGCATCTAAAACAAAGCTGGTTAAGATCAGTAACTTCTCAGTAATAAAATCAGGTGAGTAGGAGGGCTTTGAAACTTACTGAGCTGAAAAGGTCCTGCATTTTCTGACTATGTTCAATGTAGGGGGTCATGAACTTGGAAGAGTCCACCTTCCTCCGGATGACCTTCTTTCTCTCCACTGGCTTTGCTGGTTCTGGCTGCACCAGCGCTGGTTTGGAAGTTTCTGATTGGTCATAGTCAGATACTGTCCTTGTGGTTGTCGTTTCATATACTTCTGTTATTGTCTGAAAATGTAACGTGCAGTTCAACAGTGTTAGGAAAGCAAAAACTATAGTACCGTGATCTTGGTGTATGTTGTTCTAACTTCAAATCAGATTTCCATTCCTGGTGTTACTTTTCCTATACAGAGCAAGCCAACGCCCGAAGACACACCCTACTTCCGTCTGAAAGCACCTAACACACAGGAATCTGGATGCTGATTGTGACTTGTCACACTTGCCCAAAGATATTCAGACACCTCAAAGGAGCATTTAAAAATCAGAAATAAAATATTCTTAAATACTTTAGTCTTCTTAAGTGAGGGCTGAGGCTGTAGCTCAGTGGTAGCGTAATTGCCTAGCATGGCCAAGGTTCCAAGGTTCAATTTCTACTACCATCAAAACAAATAATATCATGATCTTGGTGTATATTGTATAATCTTCTTAAATTGTCTGGATCAAATAAAAGCAAATGAGATTGGGGGGAAGGGTTAAGAAAAAGCTCGAATTCATTATTATAGCAGAAACTTTTAAATGAATGAGAAAAATCAGTTATATTTTCTGTAGGCATTTAGGTGTTCTTTATAAGATAAAATAAGAAATAAAAAACTTAAAAAAAAAAACTAATCAATTAGTATTACATGTAGTCCTCTCTTGGCTTGGTTCATTAATGCGAACTGGAGTTCCATGTACACTAATAAATGCTCAGGTGGGCAAGAATAATGGTGACAACATAATGGATAATTATCCTCACAACAGCCCCATCTATGAAGTAAGTGGGAAATTACTATTTCCTACAACAGGCTACAGTGGAAAAACTAAGACTCAAAGTTTGAATGTAACCCAAGGGTAAAAATATGGCATATAAGAAAAGAGGATAAACAGCCTGGTCTTCAAAGCACCCTGTTGGCTTGTCTCCTTCAAGGCAAAGATGTCTGTCCCAGAGGCAGAATTCTAGCATCGACATTGAAAGGAGAAACCTGATAAGGAAACTTTAAATACCTGATACCTCAGCTGCTAATTGGCCTCTTTCTATCCATTATTACTAAAGCACGCGGGCCACAAGGAACCAATACATTTATAACATCTACTGATGGTCTTTTATGCTGTCACGGGCTCTCTGACTGGCCATTCACATCACTATTTGTCAGGCTCAAAGAGAAAAAACCCCATGCAGAAAATGAAACATGGAGAAGTGCTTAACCTTGTTTGGAGCAGGATTCCAACCTGGAATTGCTATGAAAATGACTTTCTCATAAGCCCCCAAATGCTAAATTCTGAGTGGAACACCACAGCACCACTGGAAACTATATCTTAGAGACATCATTCCTAGTGGCAGAGACTCTACCCTACAAATTACAACTCTACACATTGAAACTGCTCAGTCCTATGTAAGTCTCAAGTCCAAAGCCATCCTCCTATTGCAGCCAGAGAGAGACGGCAGCCGCTGACATCACCTCCTTTTATAATCTCTGTACAAAAAACACCACATGAGCAGTGAGGAACCATTCCTTGCCATCTTTGGTAAGTTGAGCAGCAAAAACAGTGATATAGGCTGTCAAATAGGAACATTTGGTCTTTTACCACCACTTGTGGTACATGTGAACTGGAGCTCCATGTACACTAATAAATGCTCAGGTGGACGAGACTAATGGTGACAACATAACAGGTGATTATCCTCACAACTAACCTATCTATGTAGTGAGTAGAAACTTACTGTTTCCTACAACAGGCTACAGTAAAAAACAAAGACTCAACATCTGAATGTAGTCCAAGGTTAAAAATATGGTATGTAGGTCCCCCTTCTGCCACCTTTCTGGTTCTGGGAATCTGAGGGAGGAAAGAAGTTCTTTCTCCTTTAGTGACAATCAGTCCATGCAGGTGTGGGTTTGGTCTTACCTCTCCTGGCACCTCCTTGTAAATTGTCTCCTCTGTATAGTACTGTAAACAGAACACAAGGTATCATTGTGATGGGAGTAGTACTCACCCTTCAGCCTCAGATGAACACAAGGTGACTGCCCTAGCTTAGGTGGGGAGGAAGGAGAGGGGCCTGTTCATACTCTGGGGCCTGTTTTCAGTTAGGATGCTTTAGTAAAAGCTGAAGTGGAGGCATCAGACCTGGCAAAAAGATGCAGAATGCCCAGTAAACTGAGAGGGCTGAGGCTGCTTTAAATCACTGGAAGCTATTTTCCAGGGACAAGGAACACTTTTTTCTTATGGTATTTAAGAAAGAATCTGCTTACAAAAGAGTATCTTGAATATGCAGTATGAGCAAAGAGAAACTATGATGCTAAGCCTTGCTGTTTACCAACAATAAAACTAAGCAGAGAGCCCAGTGTGAGCAAACTTCCAGTGGACTGTACCATGGAAATGGTAAGAGCCGAGCACATCCACATCTTAATTATCCCCTAAGCAGCCAGAGCTTCTTCTGAAGTGATGGCTGTCTCCTTTTCAGTAACAGACAGCTACACCCAGAGCAGCACTTGCTGTCTCAGCTTCAGCTGAGCCACTGAGGTGATTTCACTAGCTTAGCTGGTGTGGAATATGTGGAGGAAGGGAGGACGTGATGGTGTTCAGGCCACAGGTTATAAAGGCCACAGGAAGAAAGGGGAAGAGATGGTTCCTCCACACAAAACTTGGGGAAGTCAGGCTGCAGTTTCCAACATGGCCACGAGGGCCTGCAGCCTAATCTGAAAGGACTCCACTTTTGTTCTCATCTGACATCACTAACAATAAATAGATGCAGAGAGGAGCTGGCTGACATTTTGTCTCTGATGCCTAAGGAGAGTGGAATCCTGCCTGAGCCTCGCCCAACTTTGCTGGGCAAACAGCAGCAAAGGCTCATGAGGGCCAAGGCACATAGGAAAGGGATTAAAAAATGAAGTACTTGGCTCATTTTTCCCAGTTTCCTGACACCAAAGAATGGAGTAGGGGGCATTGATGCAAAATTTTCCACAATGGCCCACTTTCTTTAGGCCTTGGTTCAGTAAACTCTCATTACCACAGGCCACCCACTGTATTTCACCCATGATAATAATCATACAAACCTCACTTTTGTGGATTTTTGTTTTGTTTAAAATTAAGGGATTTGTGTGTGTGTGTGTGTGTGTGTGTGTGTGCTTCCTTATATATAGCAGTAGAAATCCCATGCTCTTACAGGATAGAAAATGTCTCTTTTATCTTTGTGACTCTAGCACAGGAGAAAGTTCATTTGGACATTTTAGGAAATATGTTTGAAGCTGAAGAAAAATGGGGCCATCCCTATGGCCACACAGAACAAAAGTAGCTAGGAAAGAAATAGTAAACTTCAATGAACACTTTCCATCAATTTTACCTTTTCTAGCATCCCAGTAAGAGCAGCTCTTTGGGAGCTATCCAGTTCCACCTTTGCTGGGATCTCACAATTGGGAAAGAGATCTTACAAATAAGCTTCCAAAAAACCAACATTATCCAAGTGTTGGTATTAACTGGTATGCCAAATCTTACGTCTTTTTTTTTTTTTTCAGAGCTATGATGCTAATTATTTAGTATATCATTGCTTTGTTCTCTTTATCTATATTTGAGTCTGAATAGAGAATGCCAGTAAAATTTTATTTCAGGTGTCCAAGATCCCTAGGAGATATGTATTTGAGGCTGGTTCTTGTTTTTGAACTCTTCTCTGATGAGTTTTCTTGACTTTTCATGATCTTTTCCGAGACCAGAAAGACACACACACCCTGACAGGCAGTCTATTAGCTTAGCACCTGCTGGTCAGACCAGAAGCAGTAATGGGAACAAAATAGCAAGGAAGGGGTACCTAAAAATAGCCCTTTCCCTTTTTATGACTAGTTAAATCAATCAAGGCTAGCACTAAGGACAATTTCCAGTGACACATGAACACTTAGGAAAAGCCAGAGGTGGTTTAGATGGAGGCTTGAAGGTGTTCCTGTATTACTGTCATAGAAAAATAAAAAACATTTAATATATAATCATTACTTAATTTGCAGTGTGCTTAACAGTGATCGCTTTAACTTTTAAGGACATGTGTAAAGTGCTTCCTAGTGATAAAAATGGCTGTGGGAAGATGTATCTACCAGTATTTAAGCCAGGGAGGCTAAATACTATGAGATACAGTCTAGTTTTTTATATGCTTTAGAAATAAAGGTAATTTTATTAATAGAATAAAATAAATTTCTTCACCTAAATAAAGACATTCCAGGCAAGTTTTACTTTGTCTTTTAAAAGTGGTTTCTTTCCCACTCCCAAACCCAATGATCAACGAGACCCAGGCACGTTTCCCCGCATCTGCACTGAAGGGGAGGGAAAGGGCAACCCCTTACTTTGGCATTTTTATTTGAAATTTGGTCTGGTGGAGCTTATACTTAATTCCAGTCATGAAAAGTTAGCACAGCTTTTTATGTGTTTATATCATTGTTAATTGAAAATTACTACAGACTTTCAGATTCGTATCAATGCATTTATAGGGATTATAGCCCCAAGCTTTTGGATTTCTTTTCTACAGTATGAAGCTAAAGGCAAGAGCTGATGAGGAAGAGCCAATATCATGATTACAACAAATGATATTAATATCAAATATGCAACTATCAACTCTGTAAAACTGTACAAGATGTCTACCAATGATTTGGAGAAAAAAATTCAAGGTACCCACTGTGGTCTCTGACTGTTAGTCAAGATTCAAAAGCAAGAGTTAGTCTTGTTTATTTGTTTAAAATGATGGAGTCTGTGGGAAATGGCTCCAGTCGTCACTGTGACCTTCATGAATTCATGTATGTATCAGCGATGGCCATGGACATGCATGTACATGCACACATATAAACCCCCATGTGTGTGGCTGTTCCTGTATGTAACCCACACCCTTTTTTGCATGTTCCACTATTTGAAATGGAGTAAGGAGTTGCCCTTTCCGGAGCCTTCAGTGCACATGCGGGGAAACACGCCTGGGTCCCTTTGATCCCAGGGGTTGGGAGATGGGGAGAAAAGCAGTTGTAAAAGACAAAGTAAAATGTACCTGCATTCCACACCTTGTTTTTTCTTTGTTGTTGTTTGTTTTTTGAGAGTTTAAAGAAAAGTGAAAATGAGAAGAGTGTTATTTCCTTTCAGTTCTAAACCCCACATAATTATAGTGAAATGGACATAAAATATTCTTTTCTTGGGCTTCAATGGTGACTCTGTGAAGTTATAAGAGACAATAGTTTCCCAAATGGTTGACTCACCCACCCAGCTCTGGCCTTCACAACACAAAGTGCTTAGCTGTGAGAGTGGGTTTTCGCTCTTACCTCTATCACCTCCTCATACTCTTCGTCATCTGCCATTTTCCCAGAGTCGTAGTGGCAACCTACAAACTGTCCACATTCCATACAAATGAAAACATATTAGTATCTATCCCCAGGACAGAAATTAATGCATAACACCATAAGAGAATTAAAAAACCCAATCCAGTCTACATAACTGTATGTTTTTGTAGGCTAAGGGACACTAAAAACAAAGCTTCTAATTTCCCTCCCCTAGCTTCCTCGGTGATGTGCAGAGCATTGGGATTAGTTCAGAATTCATTCGCTTCTTGTTATAAAAGGAAATTGAGGTGAGGAAGAGTTTGGCTTCAAGAAACAGCACTTAAATGTCCAAATACTTGAAGAGAAAACATTTTCAAACAAAACTTTTAGTGGAAGAAAAGTCAACTTGGCTTTTAGCAGTTGGAATTTTTTCTCATAGTTCCAAAATTCTAAGAAGGATGACTTAGTTTTCTGCCCTGCTCCAGGATACGCACTGTATGTTTCAAATTTAGAACACAAGAAGAAATCGATTTATGAATTTTTTTTAAAAAGCAGAAACCTCAAAGCAATGGGATTATTTTCTTCCGGAAAACCATTGGCTTCTATGAATTTTTTTCCCGGTTCGTTTCTGCAGCTCTAGTTCAAGCCTGAAACATAACAAAAAGTTTAAAACATTTGTTGAAGTACAAGTAAGACTGCCAGTCTTTGGCCTAAATTTCTAATTAGGAACTAGGGACCAGCTCTCTGAAGGCCTTTCGGCCTGACGCCAGAGAGTGCGTCACTCCCTACAAAGTGCATGATGCCTGAGAGCAGCTGTCCCTTCGCCCAGATATGCTTGATGTAAACCAATACCCTGAGTGGCTGGTTTTGTTAAGCTAGCGAAACTGCTGCTCCTTTTGAGGCCTGTGGGATAGGATAAATATAGTAACAGTGACCATACAGCCTTCTTCACGCGAACATATTTAGGACAAACTGAAGGCAAAAATGAAAAAGAAAATTCTCTTTAGAGAAGACAGTCAGCCTGGTCAAGCGATGAGTGGTTAGCACAGTACTCGGCTCTAACTGTAAACGCGCCATGTCATCTATGATCCATGGGGCCTTCATAGAGGATGAGGGTCCCTGACTTTCCTAACCTTTTTTCATTACCATTTTTCCCAGTTAGGACTCAGAACTTTGGGGAAAATAATTCAGGGGGAGCCATAGAACATTCTCTCAGAGACTATTTCAGAAGAAGGCATAAATGGGCCTTACCTTCGAGCTGTGCAATAACCTGGTCAGCAGCAAAACCTCTCCCAGCTCTCCCCTCCTGAGAAGCCCAGGCAAAAGCCGCCCGGGTGCAGGCGCCCTGGATTATCATGTGGCAGGAGCAGCCAATCAAATCTCGAGTTGCTCAAATTTCAGAAGCTAAATATACTGGGTGATCTTCTGCAAACCACCTGTTCATCAATTCCACTAAAGGATAAAGGGTAACAAATTGCTAGCTTAGAACTATTCAAATGTGATGGAATTTTACCTAACTTCCAACATCTGAGAGTCAAATTTAGGCTTAGTTTATTTTTTGCAATCTAGTCCAATGTCCCATTAAGTGCAAAAGAATTTAGAGGAACTAAGCTGAACTTCGAAACTTCGGTTCCTCTGTAACTGCTGGGCTCACACCGTTTGTCCATCGCGGAGCTCAACACAGTTCAGCCTCTGAACGCTACTCACGTAGGGAGCAACTGGCATGGCACTGGTGTTGCTGTGGAGGAACGGAGGAACGGCCCAGAAATTATCCGTTTGCTAGAAGTAATTTTTTTTTAATGTGATGAATGGAGCTATAGGTGACAGTATTTGAAACACTAGGTAAGGTGTCCACAGGTATAATCAGAGAGATTAGCCTCATCGTTCGCTTCCCTGTTTCTGGGCATTGGTACCTGCTCCCCAGGCAGCCCAGCTGTTGGGAATACCTGGGCCTCTCCTCCCCACAGGAACTGAATTACAGGTTTCTATTGACTAAAGTGTGGTTGCAGACCTCAAAAGTCTCCATTTATGAACTTCAAAAGTAGGTTAAATGGAAATGAGGAAATTATTACCCCAACTGGAGAATATGATGTCCTATTAGGCAATTCACAGTGTGAGAAATTTACTTTGTAAAAGAAAAAAAAAATATCTATCAGCTGGCCATGGTAGCCCAGGCCTGTAATCTCAAGTGCTTGGGAAGTAGAGACAGGAAGATCAGGAGATCAAGGCCAGCCTCCACTACACAAGACCTTGTATCAAAAGTAGAAGGCAAAACAAAACAAATTATATATACATTATATATTATATACATATTATATATATATGACAGCTTCCTTAAAACTTGCTAGATGTCCCTCTTTTTGTTCTCTCTTTGCTCTTGAACTACTTAAAATCTACTTTGTCCTTTCACAAAGCACAAAGTCAAACTCATAGGAAAAACAGTCGCTCTTTCCCTGGTGGCTTTTGAACTGAGGCTCCAAAGCCACAGGTCATTCAGATCTCACAGATTTGAGACTAATCTTACTGCAGCAGTTCTTTTTGAGTGACACACTAGGCTGTTATCTCATATTTAGAATATATTTACCTCTCTATCTTCCTTGCCCCATACGTGGGCCTATGTTGTACAAGAAAGAAAGTTGAGCAGGGGCCAGGGGAGCAAGCCAGTAAGAGTGTTCCTCCAAGGCCTGTGCTTCAGTTCCTGTCTCCAGATTCCTGCCTCCAGATTCCTGCCCTGAGTTCCTACCTCGGGATCCCTTAGTGATGAACTGTGTTACTCGGGAGATGTAAGCTAAATAAACACTTTCCTCCCCAAGTTGGTATTTGTCATAGTGGTTTTTTTTTTGTTTGTTTG